ACATTCTATTCGATAATATATTGATCTCCCATTATTTACATTATTGTGACTATTGTCCTCATCTTCGTCGCCATATTTATCACAACATTTCGGCCGTTGTACGCTCCGGCCTTCTTCAGGTGGCCTCAAGGACACATGGCACAGTTGATGAAGGCATTCGTTAGATCCAGTGACAGGACCCAAACAGTGTGAGTTCAATACCCGGTTAAGGCAGTGGAGAACTTTCAGAGGGAAAATTAGCAGGAGATAACTGATAACTGACATCTAGCAAACATGGCACGTGGAACTAGAACAGTCTACCCCAGTGTGCGAAATAAAGGGTTCAGTTCGAAATTCCAACCACCTGAAGAAGGCCGGAGCGTACAACGGCCGAAACGTTGTGATAAATATGGCGACAAAGATGAGGATAATAGTTCGAATAATGTAAATAATGTACATAATACCTCATCTCAGAAATATAGACAGATTGACCTCCCAGTTTAACACACTTGGCATTTAGTGTCTGAATCTTCAGTTTCCCTTCCAAGACGTATTTTGGGAAGTTGGTCGGACCAAGATCTATTCGTGCAACTTCAAAATGTACTCCAATAATGTCATGTTTAATTACGTTTCCCCAATTTCCATCTTTTGTTTTTCATAATTGCATAAATATGCCTTATTAGCGTTTACTTAAGTCAATATTTTCTTCGTCTTTTTTTCCTTTTCTTCTTGTTTGTCTTTCATAAGACAATCTGCCGATGGCTAATGAGAAAAAATAACACGAAACGAAAGAAAGAATTTCCGCCATCTGTCATTCCACTGCTTTTCCGAACTGCCTCACAATAAACATTAACAACACGAAAGAAACAAGAAAGAAACAAGAAAGAAACAAGGGAAGTAATAAGAATCATAATAATGTTGGTGGGGTTCAGATCAAGCAATTTATATCAACAATATTCATTGAAGAACATGAATAAAAGCAGAAATTGCAAGAATAAAATATAATCACGGTTATTAATAAAAATAATAAGAAGGTATATAAAAAAAAATTCTAGTTTTCGAACGAACATTACAGTCAGGATAGTTGAGATGAAAAGCGGTTGAAATTAAGATGAAAGAAATATTAATCTGGTTTAGTTTGTTTTATATTATTTTACGGCATATCAACCTCTGTGGGTAATTGTCATGGTCCGGTTCCTTGTACCACGGTGATAGTCCAAGGTAGAACCAATAAAGAAGAACTCGAACACGGATATGGAATAACACAGATATATTACAACAGGAATATATACAGAGAAGTAGAAAGTGTTAGTACGAACAACAGGTTTAGTAGTAATTGTCTGAACGCGACTCTGTTTCGGACTACCTCTGACTCGACTGACTGACTCGCTCGCTCTGACTGACTGACGGATTCCTGACGGACGTCACGCCAGACTTCAGACTTCACTCCAGACTTCAGACTTAACAGTATTTAGTCACCCCCCACGATGGTATCATGTGTCACAAGGCCGGTTTAACGTAGGATCTCCGATCCCGTGGGCTCGGACAAAAATATGCCTTTGAACCCATATAAACGGGTTCAGGGTCAGTTTACCTCCCCTTCGGCGTAGCCTCGTTCGGGTTCCTCCCCACCCGAAGGCAGAGAGTTCAACCGATCAGCTGGTTAGCCGGTCGTCCGACTTCAGACTGAATTCCCTGCTTCCTCTTGAGGCGGAGTATTTATTACGTATGGAATAGTCTATTATGTTATTATGGGTAAGGTCCCGTAACAGTTATTTAATGACAACAAGATTTTTAGGACAGGTTCGTATGAATATAATATATATTCTTTGTGCAGTTTGTAGATTACGTTTTCATTGATGTATTCTGTAAAGCGGGGTTTGCGGAGAGTATGGTTTGGTTTATTTTGTTTTACGCCATATTAACCTCAGTAGGTTGTTTGATGCCGATCATATTTTTAGGCAAGTTCCGTATGAATAGAATATGTATTCTTTGTAAGAAAGAAGTTTGTAGATCAGGTTTCTTTGACTTATTTCTGTAAAGAGGGTTTTTGTCGAGTGTCAAATGTATTGCTGGTATATTTTTGATTTTGACCATAGTATGAGGGTTATGTAATTTGCCCATAGCTGCGAAACTAACAGGTGCTACAACTCCCAGTCCAAGTGCACATGGGAACAACAGCAATTAAGAGTTGGTTCTATTCTCCTCAAATCCTCTGATCAGATGTCTTGCTGCCAGATGTAGTTTATCATCATACCCAGGACGGAGAAAGAATATATATATATATATATATATATATATATATATATATATATATATATATATATATAATATTAGTGGTCAATATATATATATATATATATATATATATATATATGTGTGTGTGTGTGTGCACATAAATTATCAAAGGATAGAATCCAGATAGAACTCAATGTCCAGGACAGAGTAAGAATATAATATAAAAAAGCTCAAATTTGTAGGTCTGATGATTTAGATCGTGATTGCGATTCTGTTGAGATGTTGAGTGTTTCCTCGTGCGTGTATTGAAATAAGGACAAACACATATGTAGGGAAAAATACTGGTATATCTGAAGAGGTATTTACAACAGAGAGATTAGTAGTCAAACGAACGCAGGTTAGTCAGTAACAATCAGAAAGAGTATAAAGTCCAACTGTATCTTCCGGTAGAGACGGAAGTGTGATGATCACCTGATCTCTCAGAACTCTATAGAACTGTCCTATTAGTAGTAGAGATCAGTCCATTCTGATGAGAAGGTGGGTGGCCCCAACAGATTCCAATGTAATAAATTATAACCATGGAATATTAGTGCTTGAGCCTTTTATAATATATATATATATATATATATATATATATATATATATATATATATATATATATATATATCATATATATAAATCGAGTCACACATTCTTAAATATTATCATCACTTCTAGACTCTCGCATGGAGGTCATGCAGAGCTCGCAACTCGTTTAGAAATGGTTAAAATCTAACCATTTTCTAAAAACAATGATTTAAAAATGTATCAAGTGAATTCTTAAAGAAGAAAATTTTTCATCAGACTCGATAGAATCCCAAACAAAGAAATATCTCAAATAAAAATACATATAAATTGAAAACTTGCTGCAGTAGGGCCCACTAAAATGGACAGGACATACAACTAGAAGAGAAAATAACGATCTATTGGAAATGTTGATCTACAACACTACTTTAAACAAAAGGTTAGGAAGGAAACTCCCCTCAGTAATATTAAGATCGAAAACAGAGATTTTGAGAAGCCCATTTTCCTGCAAAACTCTTTTAAAGGACTAGCGTATATAAGGCTACATAATCGCTCAATGAATGTCGAATGTTTTCTGTAATTTGATTGATTGATTGGTTTTTACGGCTTATCAACCCATTTGAAGGTTATTCAAAGCCAGAAAATATTTTTAGATTTCAAGAATCTCTTCTTTTTTGATTTTTAGATAATAATGGTTTAATGATGCAAGTCATACTAATTAACCCATAGCTGGGGGAGAAAAGGTCGATTCATACCTTTGCCAAGGTTATTTTCCCGTAAGTGAATATATCGAAGACAACGGGAATTTGAACTCAGCTCTCTGATTAATAATTCCGAAAGATTATCCCTTACACCACCCACGCATCCAAGCTTACAGCACCTGGCATTCAGAAGCGGTCACCCATCCAGGTATTGACCAAGCGTATATTTCACTATTTGCGTAGTGTTAGTTTTAGTGTAAAAATTCAAAACTTCAGCTGAAACTATAAATCAATTCATCATTTCTTTTATTGCTTAATTTGGTTCTCATAAACATTGCATTTGAAATCAGATTTCGAAATTCAACATGTTAACAATTTTTCACAAAGGTATTAATCGGAAATCGCTTCAGATCAGGTGAAAACGATTTTCAATACTGAAACCTCAGTATTACACCATTATTATTATCATTGATATGCATGTTGGAGTTATTGGTGTGAAATCTGAGATTGGAGCATTCCGTTCGTATTCCAGCCAAGTTTCGCACTTGGGGAAGTTAAGAATCAATGCAGAGCACACTTGAATCTCTGACTTTAGTCGGCAACCAGTCTAAGAGAAGGAAAATTCTAAATTCAAAATCGAGTTAGCTGGGTCTAGCAAATCGATCCCGATAAAATTTGCTACTGAATCCGCATCACCTAGACCTAGCGTGATCAAGTTTTGACCCTCCACAGGGAAATCAACAAGGTTAAAAATAACACCACAAACATTATAATTGTATACCCATTATCACCTTCACATGTGGGAAAATGGCTTGTAACTATCAATGCCTCCAAAACACAGCACGTTCCATCAACAAAAAGCAGGTCCTGGATATTCTCCAGCCATGGCTAATAATTGTACACTCAAGGAGACTCCTTACTTCACCCCTGACCTTAATTGAGATCCAATTCCCACTTTCCAGTGTCCAAAGTTGAAAAGTGTTTACCGCAGCTTTGGAAGCGATGAGTTGTTTTCAAAACTAAAAACTCTTTCCTACAGACGAAATGTCAATATTTCCATAACTTTCCTACGGACAAAATGTCAATATTTTCATGGCAAATGCCCATAGGAGATACATTTGTTAGTTTTGCCAGTTCAGACTTTTACAGATAGAATCCGCCATGTTACGTTCATAGGCACGAATCATGCTCATTGCATTCGTGTTCAATTTGTAAGAAATAAGTTCCACTCAGACAGCTTCTTGCTAAGAACCGCGACTTTGTTGAATAGACTCCCCAGAGGTTGCTTCTTTGATGACTACAATCTGAACCAATTCAAGTCTACGTTCAACTGTTATTCATCTCCCATATCCTCATCAGCTAAACTTACTTCCACTATTAAGCCTATATACAAAATCTCATTCACTAACCTTCAATGATTGGGCTTCGGTTGGGTGAACATTTAGTAGAAAATGGACTTGGCTCAATAACAATTACTAAATCGATACCACGGAACTCTTTGAGCGGTTTTATGTCATAATGATTACTTTTTTCTTTCTTAATTTCTTTCTTTCTTTATTCCTTTCTTCTTTCTTTGTTTCTCTGTTTGTTTCTTTTTTTCTTTGTTTCTTCCTTTCTTTCTTTGTTTATTTCTTTCTTCATTTCTTTCTTTCTTTCTTTGTTTATTACTTCATTTCTTCCTTTGTTCGTTTCTTTCTTTCTTTTCTTTCTTCCTTTGTTTGTTTGTTTGTTTGCTTCTTTCTTTCTTTGTTTGTCACTTTCTTTGTTTATTTTTCTTCCTTCCTTCCTTTCTTTCTTTGTTTATTACTTTCTTTCTTTCTTTCTTTCTTTCTTTCATCCTTTCTTCCTTTCTTTGTTCGTTCGAATGTTTGTTTCTTTCTTTCCTTCTTTCTTTGTCTATTTGTTTGTTTGCTTGTTTCTACCTTTCTCTCTTTCTTTCTTTGTTTCTCGGTTTCTTCCTTTGTTCGTTTCTTTCTTTCTTTCTTTCTTTCTTTCTTTCTTTCTTTCTTTATTCTTTTCTTCGTTCGATTGTTTGTTTCTTTCCTTCTTTGTTTATTTGTTTGCTTGTTTCTACCTTTATCTCTTTCTTTCTTTCTTTCTTTCTTTCTTTCTTTCTCGGGTTCTTCCTTCGTTTGTTTATTTCTTTCTTTGTTTATTACTCCCTTTCTTCCTTTGTTTGTCTGTTTGTTTCTTTCTTTTTTATTCCTCCCTTTCTTCCTTTGTTTGTTTGTTTGTTTCTTTCTTTCTTTTTTATTACTCCCTTTCTTCCATTGTTTGTCTGTTTGTTTCTTTCTTTTTTATTACTCCCTTTCTTCCTTTGTTTGTCTGTTTGTTTCTTTCTTTTTTATTCCTCCCTTTCTTCCTTTGTTTGTTTGTTTATTGCTTGCTTTTTTGTTTCTTTCTTCCTTTCTTTGTTTCTTTCTTTCTTACCATATATTTTTATTCATATATAAATTGTTTATTAATTTAATTCGTGTAAATTTATATTTAATATGGATATAATAGCCTGGTTCTCTAATTCCTGAAATATATATGCGAAACTAATGATATCTTAATTGCCAACACCCGTGGAATTTCTACAATTTCAGCTCGCAATTAATAGTAGATGTTTCCAACCCGTGATATGACCAGAAGGATTTATTAAACAAATAGGTCATCACATCAGTCTTGGGATTATAGTGACGTAGAGAATACTGAAGACTTCTATTGGAAATAAGCAGACGTCTAAATTTTCCACGGCACATTTAACATTTGAAATGATATTACAAGGATACAACGACAATTTTAAAATTCAACATTTAACACTCATCTGTTTTCTGCAAGGAAATTCATAGGAAATACTGACTTTACAATGTCTCTTCCTACATCTGACAACAAAGATTAATGCTGAAAAAAAATTAATGGCGGATAATGGGAAAGGGTTTTCAACCAAGTTATTATCAGCATCCTTTAGTAGAACCACGTTTCTACTGTTTCAGTTCTATTCTTCATCTGTGAGGATGTTGTACAAACCAGGACTATATAGGAGGGCCGATATTTCATAACTCTTTAGTAATCTTTTCTTCGTTTGCAACGATATTTTCCTGTTTCTTGATACTTTGCTTAAATTCTTTGGAGGCATCTTTTGCTATCCCAATGCGTCTTTGGATTTTGGTCCCGCACTTTTTGTCTTCTGTAAAAACATTTCCTTGTTATTCCAATTATTGTATTTCTTTGATTTTTCCCTCTCTAATTTGTAATTTTTCATCTAGGGCTGTCCCTTTTGCTAGCAATCATACAATACATCTTCTTGCAATTGATGTTATATTGGAATTTCGATCGAACCCATTATTTCGTCCACCGGGGTCAATTGTTCTAGTTCCTCGTGTCATACCTCGAGGACATATAGCCCAGTGGATAAAGCCGTTGGTTAAATCCAGTGACTAGACCCAAAGAATTGTGAGTTCAGTACCAGGCCACAGCAGTGGCGAACCAAAACTTGGTGTGTATATGTGTGTATCTTTATCAATGATCGTTTATATATGCCTTTCATTGTATGTATATGTTGTCTGTTTTTTTAAGGGTCGTGGATATCTATTTCCTGTTTCTTACGCGTTTTTGCGTGTTTATATATCTAAATATGTCTACATGTTTGTGTATTATAATCTGATTGTTTATGTATTGTCTTTTGCAAGATTTCACCCTCCCCTGCCCATATCTTCACTTCAAATGTATCTAAGTTGTAACGAAGCTCAGAGCAACATTAGATTTTAATAAATAACAAAACATATGTATTTTTTCCTCAGTTTCTTATTTAAATAATTTTATCAGATTTTAAACTTGATATAGATTAAATTTAAAATTTAAAATTGGTAATTTTTGATTTTCAATTTTATAGTAAAATCTAATATTAATTAGTTAGAATGATTTCTATTTTAGTCTAACCTTAATATTAAAGCATTAATTATTATAACCAAGGTTCGTTATCAAGTTTTTTGAATTCTCATATACTTGTATTTTGATTGGTCATTGCAGCTTATGTAACAACGTTTCCCCTATCGAGGGGTGTTTTGTCGATTTTCAATATAGACTTTTCTCTCGTTGGAACAACTATAACCTCTTCTCTTTATATATATATATATATATATATATATATATATATATATATATATATATATATATATATATATATATATATATATATATAATACCTTTGACAGACGAATTTAATTCGTTGCAAGACCTTCTTCAGGCATAGAGTGGATATTTCCACTTAGTATTAAAATTAATTAATTTTCCTTATGTTTGTCGATGTTAAACATTCTCTTTCTTGTGTAGTAGCAACAGAAAATATGACCGTATCTGGGAAATATCGTAAGGCGAATAATTATAAAGCCTGGAATATATGTGCCTATTTTCCTATTTCAAAATTTTATGTGGATATATGCTTAACTTCTTAGCTCGCCTTCAATTCCAATCTCCGGCTGTCCTCTCGGCTATCGATCCAAGGCACTAAAATAACGCACCCGACATCGTCGATGCTTGATCAGGTTGGTTGAAGTGTACAGAGATCGGTATTGTTGCTACTGTCCCTGGTGTTTTTTATGTGCTTATTGAACCGTAAACGGAACTCTATTCTGCTTTCTCTAACATAATTGGCCTTCTCGTATTTGTGTCAGAAAAGTAAAGATACGAGATTGGAACAGTCACAGCTTAGGCGGTCTGAACACTACGTGAGTAGCGGGATGTGTGTTAAAGGTTTTGAGAGGTTGATGTATTTGCAGACCAGGTACCGGGCTCTGTTGCAGGTGACATTCCCTTGATAAGGTGATGTGTTTCAGATGTTGGATGATGTTAAAAGTTTGAAGAGGTTGGAGGCTGTCGTCTCGCGTGCTAAATAATTTGCTAATAGTATTGTTAACTTTTAAATGTTGGAAATCTTTAGTAAAGGCGTGGGGAAGTTTCTGGGCGTTTTAATTAAAATAAAAGACCATCGGGATTCAGGAATTCTTCTGGTTAGTTACATAGTTGAGGAGGGGGTTCCTGGTAAGTTTGGAAGCTTTGGTGATAGATTCGTTGATTATTTTGAGGAGGTAATTCCTATTAAGAAAGTGATTGCAAAGTCCTGTGTGTTTGTTGTAATCTTCCATGTGAGATACGTTTAATGTGTAAGTATTGGCTGTAGATTATAGATTTTTTAGGTTGGTTAGGTGACAGCTATTGAAATTAAGGAAGCAATGACCATCCATAGGCTTAGTGGATAGTGTAGTGGAGATATTGTTATTATTAAGACATACCAGTGTGTCCAGAAACGGAATGGAAATGGTAGAATATTCCATAGTAAATTTGAGGGTGTGGTGGAAATTATTAAGGTGTTTTTTTAAGATTTAGAAGGTTGTTTTCTCCGTGTGTCCATATAAGAGTAGCTGGTTTGGTTTGTTTTATTTTGCTTTACGGCATATCAACCTCAATGGGTTATTTAATGCCGACAACATATTTAGGATAGATTCGTATGAATAGAATTATGTATTCTTTGGTTTAGATTGGTTTGGTTTATTTTGCTTTACTGCATATCAACCTGAATGGGCTATTTAATGCCGATAACATTTTTAGCATAGATTCGTATCAATAAATATGTATTTTTTGGTTTAGATTAGTTTGGTTTATTTTTATTTTTATTTTTTTACGGCATATAAACCTCAATGGGTTATTTAATGCCGACAATATTTTTAGGATAGATTCGTATGAATAGAATATGTATTCTTTGGTTTAGATTACTTTGTTTTTTTTGTTTTTGTTTTTTTTATTACGGCATATCAACCTCAATAGGCCATTTAATGCCGACAACATTTTTAGGATAGATTCGTATGAATAGAATATGTATTCTTTGGTTCAGACTGGTTTGGTTTATTTTGTTTTACGGCATACCAACCTCAATTGGTTATTTAATGCCGACAACATAATATTTTGTTTTGTCAAAAATCTGTTTCTGGTAATATTTTTCCTTCAAAATTGTAATGCTGGTAATATTTATTTTCAAAATAGTTTTGTTGGTAATAGTTAACTATTTACCTATAGCTGGGAGCCTAACAGGTGCTACCACCCTACGTCAGGGTATACCTGAGAACACCAGCACTTAAGAGGTGGTTCCACGCTCCTCAAATCCTTGCTGCTGGATGTAGTTTATCGTCTTACCCTGAACGCGGATGTAGTTTAACCTCTTACCCAGGACGAATGACAGTAGCTGGGCAAAGCCTGGGGTCTATCTGTGCTTATTGTCCTATTTCAAAATTGGTGTGGATATGTATGCGTTCATATGTGTCCAATTTTCCCCGAAGAATCGAATACAGAAAAAAACTAGTCCACATACAGGACGCGGCAAAATGATTTGACACATTTGTAGTTTTAATAAAAGAGGAACAGAACAAAGAACTAAAAAATGTGTTTTTATTTTCGAAATATGCGATTGAATTTTAATTTGATTTTCAGTTGCTAACAGAAATTGGATGAACGAGAATAGCGTTTTCATTTTGGTAACGTTTATCAAGAACAACGAATTGGTAAGTGCAACTCAAAGGGCATTGGCCAGCCTGATCACTTGACTTTGAATGCCTGTGATTTTTTTTCTTACTGTGGGGATACCTGAAATCTGAAGCTATACACTCTTCGCCGTCGATCTAATGAGCAATTAATAAATGACATTCATCCAGAAATTGCTGCGATTCCACATGAAATGACCAGTCGAGTAATGGACTTTTGTGAATGTATTCAACAGTGCGAGGAGAATAACGGCACCAACTTGACTGATTTCATTTTTTAAATGAAATGAAAGAAAAGGGCATTATATAGACATTTCGAAAATAAAAAGAACCATTTTTCACTTTTTACTCTATTTCGCTTTCATTAAACCCACAAATGTGTCAGATCATTTTGCCGCACCTTGCCACGAGAGACCCCCAAAATAGCGCACCTCAGAGTTTGAATTTAGATTTTTCCATATCCTAGACCATTTGCCAGCCAATGCTAAAGAGTCTAGTTTACCTTAATGTTTAACGCATACCTAGGAGAAACGAAAGAGCTGAGTTCATGCCTTTCTTAGGTATTATTTGCATGTATTGTGAAGGTCATCGTAGCTGAGTGGTTAAAGTGCACTGAATATGACTGGATTCTCCAGACTAATTACTATTACTGCTTGAAATAAATACTGGTTACAATAAATAGTGCTTAAAATAAATACAGTTTAAAATAAATACTGCTGAAATAAATATTGTTTAAATAAATATTATTTAAAATAAATATTGTATAAATATATTTTAGAATAAATATTATTTAAATAAATACTGTTAAAAATAAATATTATTTAGATAAATACCGTTTGAAATAAATACTGTTTAAATACTTTAAAAATAATATTGTTTAAATAACTACTGTTTAAAATAAATACTGTTTATGATAAATACTGTTTAAATACTTTTAAAATAAATATTGTGTAAATAAATAATGATTTAAAATAAATAATGTTTAAATAAATATTGTTTAAATAAATACTGTTAAAATAGTTTAAATAAACGCTGCTTAAAATAAATATTGTTTAAATAAATACTGTTTAGCATAAATACTTGTTATAATAAATAATATTTTAAAATACAGTTTTAAATAAATACAGTTTAAAGTAAATACAGTTTGAAATAAAATAGTTTAAATAAACGCTGCTTAAAATAAATAATGTTTAATTAAATGCTGTTTAAATAAATACTGATTAAAAATGTTGTTTACAATAAATACTATTTAAATGAATACTGTTTAATTAAATACTGTTTAAAATAAATACTGTTTAAATAAATACTGTTTAAAATGAATACTATTTAAATAAATACTGTTTAATTAAATACTGTTTAAAATAAATACTGATTAAAAATGCTTTTTACAATAAATACTATTTAAATAAATACTGTTTAGAGTAAAAATTGAGCGTATATTCAAATAAGATTATCCACTAAAAATAATGTGTAAATGTCGGATTAAAAAATAGCATCCATCAATTCTTTAAAAATTGCTTTGTTGACGTTTCGGATTCGAAACTCAGCAGATATGAAGTTTCAAGAAATCTGAAAAAGCATATGTGCTTTAAAGAGATATAGAACATGGCTTAATTGTGAAGCTTTTCCTAGCCGAGTGTTTAAAACGCGACGGATCAAACTGTAGCTTCTCTAGTAAAGTGTCACGCAGGTTCAAAACCTGCCGGAGGCCATATTTATTTTAACAAGTTATATCAAGTGAGCAGGTCGTTAGACAAAATAAATTAGTAGACTGATTAAAATAAAAAGATCATCTACTCAAATACGAGTATCTACTAAAAATAACGTTTAAAGTAATAAGTATGTGTATATATATATATATATATATATATATATATATATATATATATTATAAATCTTTAAAAAAGTATTCATTTTTCTTTATCTTTACTCTACTTAGTGTATTGAGCACTCTACCTTTTATATATATATATATATATATATATATATATATATATATATATATATATATATATATATATGTGTGTGTGTGTGTGTGCGTGCGTGTGTGTGTGTGTGTAGTTATTATATGTATTTACAAACATGTATTTATCCCGACACAGAAATTACCATGCTTCGGAACCAAAAAATAAAAAACTAATTTAAACTTTTCTAGCGATGTTGAATAATTTTCGAAAAATTATTTACTATTTTTATAAACTAAATAGTATTATATTATAGATACAAAAAGCTAAAGAACTCTGGATTATAAATCTGATTGTTCTTTCTTTTCATTTTGATACATACATATATATATATATATATATATATATATATATATATATATATATATATATATATATATATATATAACCAATTTGTGACTTGTAGGGATAATTCCAAGGAGGATATTAATCCAGGGCGAGCTCAATATAAAATAAAGAGAATAATAATAATAATAATAATAATAATAATAATAATAATAATAATAATGAAGAAAAAACCTTAAAGATTCATTTTGAAAATTTAAATTTTACTAAATCTATTTAATAAGATTTACGAAGAGATTATGATCTGAAGAGATTAATATATAGATATACACGAAATGAATTATAACCAAAATGAATCTTTATGCTTTTCTTCTTGATAACTATGTATATATTTGTATGAAAAATAGAAATACACGCTTATGGGAACGATAAATATTTAAATATGTGTATATATATATACCTTTGTGACCACACTGATATACTTCTAATTCCTCATATATATATATATATATATATATATATATATATATATATATATATATATATATATATATATATATATATATATATATATATATATATATATATATATATATATATATATATATATATATATATATATAAATATATATATATATATATATATATATATATATATATATATATATATATATATATATGTATATATATTCGTGTAATTTTGTGTGTGTAATCATATTATGTACATTATTTACTAATATAGGGAGCTGGTGGGTGTTTTAAAGGGTTGACTTCATTAACTTCCGGTTGTTGGGTCTGCTTACGTTTCGAGTGGGAAGAAAAGGGTATTGTGGGTAGTGACAAACCTGCAGGCTGGCAGACAGGCAGGATGGCGTCGCGAAGTCCGCCTGCGAAAGAGCCCCAGATTTGCCAATGTATATAAAACCCCAAAGGCATACACATACCAACCGGGAAGAAAGCGAAGGTAAAGAGACTGCGAAGAAGTGGGGGTTGGGCGGCGGGAAGTGGGGGGGATTATCAGACAGACTCGTTTTGAAATCCCCATGGGCAATCTTGAAGAAATTATTTTTTCTTTAATTCCTTTGCGTCTGTCTTTAGCTTATCCATTCTGAGTGAGCTATTTTCTTTCTTTCTTTCTTTCTTTCTTTCTTTCCTTCTTTCTTTCTTTCTTTCTTTCTTTCTTTGTTGGATAAGCTCTTCGAAACGCTTTCTTTCTTTTTGGATCATCTCTTCGAAGTGCTTTCTTTCTTCCCTCTTTCTTTCTTTGTTTTTTTCTTAGTTGGATCAGCTCTTTCAAACTCTTTTTCTTTCCTCCTTTCTTTCTTTCTTAGTTGGATCAGCTCTTTCAAACTCTTTTTCTTTCCTCCTTTCTTTCTTTCTTTCTTTCTTTCTTAGTTGGATCAGCTCTTTCAAACTCTTTTTCTTTCCTTCTTTCTTTCTTTCTTTCTTTCTTTCTTAGTTGGATCAGCTCTTTCAAACTCTTTTTCTTTCCTTCTTTCTTTCTTTCCCTCTTTCTTTCTTTCTTTCTTTCTTTCTTTCTTTCTTCCCAATTCCTTTATTCCTTCTTTCTTTGTTGGATCAGATTTATTCAATCTTTCTTTCTTTGTTGGATCATCTCTTCGAAATGCTTTCTTTCTTTCTTTCTTTCTTTCTTTCTTTCTTTCTTTCTTTCTTTCTTTCTTTTTATAATTCATTTATTCTTTCTTTCTTTCCAATTCCTACATTCCTTCTTTCTTAGTTGGATCAGCTCTTTCAAACTCTTTTTCTTTCTTTCTTTCTTTCTTTCTTTCTTTCTTTCTTTCTTTGTTGGATCTTCCCTTCGAAATGCTTTCTTTGCAAGTTTTTCTACATTTGATACTATCTTTCTTTCTATCTTTCTTCTCCCATTTCTCTATATTTCGTCCTCGTTCGGATACCTTTATTCTTTCTTCGATCTCTTCTTAAATAATTAAATAAATCAATAAATAAATAAAACTAATATATTTAGTATATATAATAAACAAATTTAGAATATAAAAAATTGGTAAAGATAAGAATAATAAAGATAATACTATTAATAATAGTAAAATATAAAATATTAAATAAAAATGAAAAATGATTTAGGCCTCAGCAAGATAATCACTTGAATAATTAAATCTATCTATAGATCTATATATAAAAATGTGTGACAAGCAATATAACTACATACATACATACATACATACATATGAATACATGTATGCACATGTTTCTACCCATATAAAATAAGAATCAACATTTCAAGTGTATATCTTTCAAAGTCAATGTTTTTAGGGAATTCTAAATTTGTTTCATGTCAACACTTGAAAATAAATTCATTTCTTTGATTCAACAATTGGCCAGCATCTTTATATTTAATTATTATGATTTTCTCCTGTATGCATAGATTGCATCTGTTTCATCTGTGTGAAATATTGATTCATTATATATGTGTGTATGTACCTATGTGCATGAGTGCCTGAATAAGAAAACTTTCTTCGGCATGGTGTAAGCAAGTAAATGTGGTATGTGTACTCCTGTGAGTAGCTTAATTTGTGCTTGCCAGTACCCTTTGTGTGCTTGCTGTAAGTTTTCTTATGTGCATTCCTGTGTTTGTTTCCTGTGAGTCCCCTTGTGTGGCTCTTTGTCCATTCTTATATAGGCTGGAGATAAGCTCCAAATGAAAGCCAAAATTTAATATTTTTGTTGTGCTCCTATTGGCTGAGAAGTCTCAAATGTTGGGATTATTGTTATATTTGCATAGTGGTGAAATCAAATCTGCATTTACATGTCTATTTTAGACTTGATGAAATTGTATTTGTAGAAGGAATTTGAAAGCATACTTTTATTTATTTATTTTTGTGTATTTTCAAAGTCCCAATGATATTTTTTATGCCTTGAATTTCTTTTTTAGAAAAGAAATTAAAGTAAATAAATTGAAATGATTTTCAGATTATAATACAAAAGTTCTTTTGAAGACATTTTAGAAAGTTTTTTAAATTTGTATAAGTAAATGTCTCACAATGTTTAACTTTCATGCTGTAAAAACAATTAGTCAAAAGGACAGTTATTTCCTTGACACTGCTATTACTGTATACACTTTTGACTCCCTTGACAATGTTTATTGTTTCAGAAAGTGATGATTAGAATTTTAATAAAATCCATACATGTGAAAGTGGATTTATACAGTTTCTGTATTCTTGAAAATTGACAGAAAAGATATTAAACACTTTTTATTAGATTGCTTATTTACAAGAATAATTCAATATTTACAAGATTATAAAATATGTGAGCCAACTATAGTGAAATTATTATTTACCATTTTATAAAGAAATAAATATGAAAAAACAATGTTTTCTTAAATTTATAAATTAACTGCAATTATAAGTTTTGAAAACTATACATTTTCTGGACATTTCTTTCATTTGCTCTCGTTACATAAATTCATTAAATCATCTTTTCATTTTAGATTTTGTGAAGATTTACACTCAAAATATATAATTTTGATAATTTTGTAATATAAAATTTTTTATTTCTTTTTCAAATTGATTTCTTTATAAAATGGTTAGTAATAAATCTTTATAAAAGGTAAATAATAAATATTTCATTTTACTTGGTTTACATATTTGTGTAATCTTTTAAGATAAATAAATTTAAATGCATATGAGAGTTAAAAGTGTATACAGTAATAGCAGTTTCAACCATCCTTTTAACACATGTTTTTTTTTTGCAGCAGGTAAGAAAGTTAAACATTACCAATGTTTTTAATTATATGATTGGTGTTGATTCTGGATGAAAACTTCAAAATTATAGATAAATTTAAAGAGATAGAAAATGCAAAATTCTGAGTTAAAGTTTTTCTTCCTGGCTGAAGATTTGTGGAAAGCCTTGTTGAATATCCTCTGTTGAGACATCATCATAAAAGTTTTCCTGTGTGCACTTTGAATAGTAAAAATATGTGCATTGTATAGTAAATGATAAAAAATGTTCAGAAAAATGACAAGATGGTTATTATGAAAGCAATTCATATAACAGAACTGGAGGTTGTACAATCAAAGTTTGTTACTGGAAGTGAAGTAGGAGCTAAATACTGTCGTATCTCTTACACTAAACCTGATGTTGACTGCTCAACGACCCAAAGTAAAATGCAAAAACGCATCTCTGCACATCATGGCTCGATGCATGTTTTCAGCATTAAATGAAGAAATGAACTTTATATAGTGGCCAGTAGAAATAACTCCAGCTAAAAGACACAGACTGTGATTTGGAGCTGATACGATGGATATAAATTCCTTGATTCAACGCCGCAAAGGGAAGAGACAGAGAGACCCGGCTGAGATGTCGACACACGGAGGCTGGTCAAGAACACTGCATACATACTAAACGTGATACTTTTCAACTTTCATCCTTTGACGCTGCTGTCTGCACAAAACATCAGCCGACTGCGATGACCAACATTGTAGACTCGTCTTTTTCTTACCTATCACCCCTAGCAACAGAACAGTCTATATCTTACGCCTACGTACGGAAAACTTCAACCAATAAAAACTGCACTAGGCGAATCAACCAATCTCATTGGTTAATGACACAATAATCTGAAAGTTCACGTGCAAAAAACGAAATTGCGCCAAAACTCCGTGAGCCAATTTCGACTTTCAGGACTTATAAAAGTAAACGCCGACTGCCCCAAGCAGTCAGTAACGAACACCCACCAGTTGACGCCGTCCGAGTCTTGTTTTGGATTTACGTTATTGATGTAAAGACTTTCAGCAAATATTAGTTTTGTGCAGCGAGTGTCTTTTTTACGCTAAGTGCTAGTTTCTATTTTATTTTTCATTTTCAGTTTAACCGTTTTCCTTTTTGTTTGCTACCCGTTTCGTTTCATTCTTTTATTTTATTTCTTTTACTCTTTTTATTTACTTTTACTTTTTTTTATTTCTTTTAGTCAAATTTTTTAATTTTAAGTTTTAAGTTTACTAGTAAACAAGTTTTAATTTTCCTCCCTCTTTCTTTTTTGCCTCGTTCCACTTTTTTTAACGTTGACCTCCGACGTGAAAAGTCGGAAATTAATTGGGGTTAGCAGGGGAAACGATGGAGGAGGCTTTGAAAACTTTGAACGTTGCCCCCCGGATGCTGGCAAGAAGGTCCATTATGGGACATTCTTCTTGCTGATGAGGAAGAGGCCAAAAAATTGGCCGGAAGCATTCTCACGACGAAAAACGTGAGAATGCAGACTGAGTACATGGGCACTGTGCATGGAGTACCAGCAGATATTAGCGAGGACCGCATGGGAGCTTTTTTCGCCCAGTATGGCGAAGTAAATGAGGTCTGTGCGGCCATCAGCAAGTCGGGCATTGCTACTGGAGACATTGTGCTCCAAATCACACTGGACCGGCAGGGTTTCAGAGACGTCCCGAACATCTTAACGTGTCGGAAACAGAGGATGCTTGTGGTTGTCGAAGGCAGACGAACGTGTTGTTGGCCATGCGGCGACGCGGGGCACATGTCAAAGGAGTGCCCCGGCAAGAAGGCAGCACAACAACCCCAACCATAGGCCACGGCAGCAGCAACTACACCACCACCAGTAGCAGCAGCAACAGCAGCAGCGGAAACCCCAGAAAGCCCTAATAATGAATGGACGGAGGTCAGGAGGGCAAGGCATTAAAAAGCGCCCCCTCCGAAAAACTAGCAACCACCACCACAGCAGTAGCAGAAACAACACGAGGAGGTGGAACGGCAGCAGCAGCAGCAACCAGAACCACAGCTGCTACAACGACAGCAATCGCCACCACCACGACAACGTCAGAAAGCGGTGTCAAAATCTTCCTCGAAAAGGAAGAACGAAGAAAGGCAGAGACATGCGGAGAAGGGGCAGTAGCAACAACACACAGATCCAGAAATGGAAGTGGAGGAAATGCCTCCACCACGTACTGCCTCTTTGAAGAGGACTAGGGAGGAGGAAGACGATATAGAACCAGTGCAAAAAACGTACCGGCCGAAGTAGGGTGGAGGCACATGGACAAAACCAGGTTCCTTTCCGTCCCTGCATGGCCAACCCAGGAGTTAACAGCCCCAAAAGGGAGTCACTCTTCTTCCCCTGTCCGTGTTTCTTCCCCCACCCCCTCAAATTCTTCAATCAGCTCCCTCTCCACTCCCCCTCATACTTCCACGTCTTCCCCACCCCACCCAGCAAGGGAGAAGAAGAAAATGAAACGCTTCACGGGACCCGAAGCCATTTGTAAAGGTGGACCGGGAAGAAGCCAAAAAGAACATGTCCCTGTTTGGACATGTTCTTTTTGGTTTCTTCCCTGTTGGGACTCTTACTAAAAATGGACAAGGTCGATGACAAGTCGGTGGAGGACCCTCGGAATTTTCCTCACGCCCCTGGAGTGATTACCTTAGTGAGGGATTCCGGGAGCTACCTCAAAGTTTGGAGCCACCTGTTCGAGGCCAAGGAGGCCTATACCAACTTGAGAGTTTTCGAGCTGGAAAATGCAAATTTAAAAAAATTAAGACATTTTTGCTCTGGGAGGGTTCCTGTGTTGGTCCACCCCTCTCTATATAGGGCCATCAAACTAACCTACCCCACGGACGTCGGCGGTATTGTCTTGGACGGTCGTATGACGACCGAACTGGGAACAGGGATCCTGGGACAATCCGTCGGGGTCCTGACAGCTGCAGATTTCCGCCTGGTATGTGAGTAGGCTTTTTGCTGTTTTTTTTTAAATTTTTCTACTCTTCCTTTTTTGCAGGCCTAAACTATGTCTATCAAGATAGCGACTTTGAATGTGAAGGGCTTGAGGGATCGGAGTAAGGCGGCCCGCCTGCTCCGGGATCTCTTGTCCTTCGGCGTGGATGTCGCCGCGATCGAAGAGACCCACTTTGTTTGCAGTTCCGATGCGTGTGTGCTGTCTAACGACTTTGTCGTCTATTCAGCATATGGGGACCGGGTTGC